TCAAGCTATCCACCTGCCTCAGCCTTCCAGAGTGCTAGGATTACCTATAGGTGTAAGCCACCTCACCTGGCCTGGAACATAGTTTCTAAATACTATATAGGTTTCTATAGATGCATCTCCCACAGTTTATTTACCTGACTGAATAAAGAAGAGCAGATTTCACACTTCCTTTACTGACAAGGCCCCTAGATTGTTTCCAACTCCTTGCCACAACAAACTGTGCTGGGATGAAAATCCTGTATTACTTTGCTTCCTCAGCTTCTTAATTACAATATCAAGATGCTCATTTGAGTTTGCCTTTGATAACCATGATATCTGTTGGCATCTGACAGGGCCAGACTGTTTGACCTTGCTAAGGTCCACACCTTTCGTGAGCCATGTTTATTTTTGGTAAATTGAGATTCTGGTTTCCACACACTCTTGGCAAACATTCTTTTCTCTTCTTCTCTTCCCCAGCTGATTGTTCTCACAAGCTCTGTGGTTCATTTCTTTTTTCCTGTTGTCATTAATGGTTGCTGTACACTTGTTCCAACACAGATATTTGCTGCATGGATTTCCTGATGAAATTGTGGCCTATTAAACTGGTCCTTGGCCAGGTGAGGTGGCTCACATCTGTAATCCTACCACTTTGGGAAGCCAAGGCAGGTGGATTGCTTGAGTTCAGAAGTTCAAGAGCAGCCTGAGCATGAGTGAGACACTCATCTCTACTAAAAACAGAAAAACTAGCCGGGAACACCTGTAGTCTCACCTACTTGGGAGGCTGAGGCAAGAGAATTGCTCAAGCCTAAGAGTTTGAGGTTGCTGTGATCTACGATGCCATGGTACTCTATCCAGGGCAATGGAGTGAGACTCTCAAAAAACAAAAACAAAAAAATTGTACTTGGGTGGTACCTGTGGCTCAAAGGAGTGGGGCATCAACCCCATATACCAGAGGTGGCGGGTTTGGCTCCGGGCCTGACCAAAAACTAAGAAAATAAAAATTAAAAAAAAAAGTGTACCTGATAGTGCCAAGTGCTTGAGAGATGAGGAAGAAGAGTGGTGAATGGCTCAGTGCCTGTAGCTCAGTGGCTAGGGCACCAGACACATACACCAGAGCTGGCGGGGTTCAAACCCAGCCCGGGCCTGCCAAACAATAATGACAACTACAACCGAAAAATAGGGGGGTGCAGTGGCGGGTGCCTATAATCTCAGCTACTTGGGGGCTGAGGCAAGAGAACTGCTTAAGCCTGAGAGTTTGAGGTTGCTGTGAGCTGTGATGCCACAGCATTCTACTGAGGGCAACACAGTAAGACTCTATCTCAAAAAAAAAAAAGAAAAAAAGAAGAAGAGTGGCGAAGTGGGGAGGATCCCAATGGTTACCTCAGACAGAAAGTTCTCCTTTTTTTTGTACAGAAAGAGTCTCACTTTATCATCCTTGGTACACAGCAACCTCCAATTCCTGGTCTTAGGCAATTCTCTTGCCTCAGCCTCCCGAGTAGCTGGGACTACATGCCCGGCTATTTTTTTGTTGCAGTTCGGCTGGGGCCGGGTTTGATCCCGCCACCCTTGGTATATGGGGCTGGCAACCTACTCACTGAGCCACAGGCACCACCCAGAAAGTTCTCCGAATGTTGTTACTCTCTACCCTTCTCTGAGAGACTGCACAACATGCTAGATGCAAATACTTCAGGACATGGGACAGCCCGCTTATTCCAAATCCTGTAGATGAAAGGATGGTGAGGGCAGTCAACTCTCACCAGCATTTTGAGGATTGTCCATGTATTTGGCGTCCAAAGGCTGCTCTGAAATGGAGGGGAGCAGTGCTTAGGGTGGAATTAGAAGGGGGCCTCAGTAGTAGGGAGATAGGACAAGAGTCAACTTACTTTCATTGGCATACTGAAGAGGGAATTTTGTGTCACAAGAGAGGTTCTAATCTGGTGGGGGAGGGAGGCCCTCAGACAGATTATTACCCAGTGATCAAAACTGACATCAGAGGCTTGGTGCCTGTGGCTCAGGTGGCTAAGGTGCCAGCCACATACACTTGAGCTGGCAGGTTCGAATCCAGCACGGGCCCGCCAAACAACAATGATGGCTGCAACCAAAAAATAGCTGGGGGCATTGTGGCTGGCGCTTGAGCTCAGGAGTTGGAGGTTGAGCTGTGAGCTGTGATGCCATGCACTCTACCCAGGGTGACGGCTTGAGGCTCTGTCTCAAAAGAAAAAACAAAAAACCTGACATCAGAGTAACAACATAAAGTGAGAGGGAGCCAGGTAGAAGTAGGTGCAGGATAGCTGCTAAAGGAGACAACCTCTGAGCTACCTCAGAAGGAATGGGCCAGCTTCTGGAATAGCTGGGGAGGTGAGGGTGATGAAAAGCAGCCCAGAGCGAGGAAGCAGCATGTACCAAGCACAGAGCTGTAGAGAGCAAGGGTTCACGCTGGCTATAGACAGGAGGTGCCATCCATGGGTATGCAGTTTGGGAGGCTGAGGCTGGAGCGGTAAGAAAGCCAACTGGGTCAGCATGGTTGGCATTTATTCCCTAAGCTACATTTCCAAATATCAGCAATTAAGGGACTGCCTTCATGGCACATTTCACTGTAGTACGTGGTGTGCAATATATGGATTTCTACTCATTATTGCCTGTGAGGGCTCTGCAAGGCCTGCTCTCCCTTTTGATTAAAAAGGGAGATGAGGCCGGGCATTGTGGTTCATGCCTATAATCTTGGCATGCTGGGAGGCTGAGGCAGGAGGATCTCTTGAGCTCAGGAGTTTGAGACCAGCCTGAGCAATAGCAAGGCCCTATCTCTACTAAAAACAGAAAAATTAAACAGGTGTTGTGGCAGGCACCTGTAGTCCCAGCTACTTGGGAGGCTAAGGCAGGAGGATTGCTTGAGTCTAGGAGTCTAAGGTTGCTAGAAGCTAGGCTGACACTATGGCATTCTAGTCTGGGCAACAGAGTGTGAGAATCTGTCTTTTAATAAATAAATAGGGCGATGAACAAGGATAATAGCAGGAAAAGAGTTTAAAAGAGTACTTTTCTTATCATGATTCAAAAAACTCCTGCCCTCATAACCAGCCTGCATCCTCCACTGCAAACCCTAGCTAAAGGAGATGAGAGGCCGTATACAGCTATGTTAGGTTAAGCAGAGAATTTCTGAGTGTTAGTGTATGACATGGGAATGGTGAGAGGTTGTGGTCCAGGTACCCTCCCCACTCTGTCATCCTGGCTCAGATGGGGCCTAACCCAGCTGACCCTTTCACCAGGCTGAGACCACCATGGAGCAGTGTGCATGCGTGGAAAGAGAATTGGACAAGGTTCTGCAGAAGTTCCTGACCTATGGGCAGCACTGTGAGCAGAGCCTGGAGGAGCTACTGCACTACGTAGGCCAGCTACGGGCTGAGCTGGCCAGTGCAGGTGGGTATGCACCCTCACAACTGCCCCACACCAGCCTCCTGCAGACATGGGAGACCCAAGACTACATACTGAAAGGGTTCCAGAAGGGTGATGCTTAGGATGTTGGCACACGCCTTTCTAGGCCTCCTTGAAGGGGGGTAATGGCAATCTCTAAGCTTTTTTTTTTTTGAGACAGAGTCTCAAGCTGTCACCCTGGGTAGACTGCCATGGCATCATAGCTTACAGCCATCTTCAACTCTTGAGCTCAAGCGATCTTCTTGCCACAATTTATTCTATTTTTCGTAGAGATGGGGATCTTGTTTTTTGCTCAGGCTAGTCTCGAACTTGTGAGCTCAAGCTATCCACTTGCCTCAGCCTTCCAGAGTGCTAGGATTACAGGCTTGAGCCATCGTGCCCAGCCCCTAAGCTATTTCTTATTTTTATTTTTATTTTTTTTTGAGAGAGAGTCTCACTTTGTCACCCTTGGTAGTGTGCCAGGGCATCACAGCTCACAGCAACCTCAAACTCTTGGACTTAAGTGATCCTCTTGCCTTAGCCTCCTTAGTAGCTGGGACTACAGGCACCTACCACAATGCCTAGCTATTTTTTAGAGATGGGGATCTCGCTCTTGCTCAGGTTGGTCTCAAACTTGTGAGCTCAGGCAATCTACCTGCCTCAGCTAGCTGGTCTCAAACCTGTGAGCTCAGGCAATCTTCCTGTCTTAGTGCTAGTATTACAGGCGTGAACCACCATGCCTACCCCCTCTAAGCTGTTTCTAAAAGCCCAGCAGAAGTTATTTAGGGAGGTGGAGATGAACGGATCACTTGAGGCCAAGAGTTCAAGGCCAGCCTGGGCAACAAAGCAAGTCCCCATCTCTACAAAAAATTTAAAAATTAGCCAGGTGGTGGCTTACACCTGTAGTCCCAACTACTAACAAGGCTAAGGCAGAAGGATCATTTGAGCCCAGGAGTTTGAGGTTGACCTAGGATAAAGCCACTGCAATCCATTCTGGGCAACAAAATGAAACCCTGTCTCAAAAACGTATGTATATAAAAACCAAAAAAAAAAAACATCTGGGAGGAGTGGGGGGCAGGCGCGGCACCTGTGGCTCAGTGAATAGGGCACTGGCCCCATATACCAAGCATGACAGGTTCGAACCCGGCTCTGGCTAAACTGCAACAAAAAATAGCTGGGCATTGTGGTGGACGCCTATAGTCCCAGCTACCCAAGAGGTTGAGGCAAGAGAATCGCCTAAGCCCCAAAGCTGGAGGTTGCTGTGAGCTATGACACTACGGTACTCTACCGAGGGTGATAAAGTGAGACTCTTGTCTCTAAAAAAAGGAAAAAAAATGGCTCGGCACCTGTGGCTCAAGCGGCTAAGGCGCCAGCCACATACATCTAAGGTGGTGAGTTCGAATCCCCAGCCCGGGCCGCCAAACAACAATGATGGCTGCAACCAAAAAAATGGTCGGGCATTGTGGCGGGCGCCTGTAGTCCCAGCTACTTGGGAGGCTGAGGCAGGAGACTCGCTTGAGCCCAGGAGTTGCTGTGAGCTGTGATGCCATGGCACTCTACCCAGGGGGATAGCTTGAGGCTCCGTCTAAAAAAAAAAAAAAAACCCTCACATAGTGCTTGTTTTGGCAGCACCTATACTAATATTGGAACGATAGAAATTAGTATAGCCCCTTTGCAAGAATGACACACAAATTCATGAAGTATTCTGTGTTTAACAGCCAAAAAAACCTCATATACCCTTCACTCAGATTTATCCATCTGCTAACATGTTACCATATTTGCTTTATCATTCTCTTGGAAGTTGATGTTACTTCTTTTTTTTTTTTTTTTTTTGTAGAGACAGAGTCTCTCACTTACTTCATTGCCCTCGGTAGAGTGCCGTGGTGTCACACAGCTCACAGCAACCTCCAACTCCTGGGCTTAGGCGATTCTCTTGCCTCAGCCTCCCGAGTACCTGGGACTACAGGCACCCCGCCATGATGTTACTTCTTAACCATGTGAAAATAAGTTGCAGACTGGCAGCACCTGTGGCTCAGTGAGTAGGGCGCTGGCCCCATATACCAAGCGTGGCAGGTTCAAACCCAGCCCCGGCCAAACTGCAACAACAACAACAAAATGGCTGGGCTTCGTGGCAGGCGCCTGTAGTCCAAGCTGCTCAGGAGGCTGAGACAAGGGAATCGCCTAAGCCCAGGAGGTGGAGGTTGCTGTGAGCTGTGTGACACCACAGCACTCTACCAAGGGTGATAAAGTGAGACTCTGTATCTACAAAATAAGTTGCAGATAATGTACACCTTTGCCCCTAAGCCTTCAGTGTGCATTTCCTAAAATCAAGGTATTCTCTTACATAACTACAATATATATAATTATTAAAACCAAGAAATGAAACATTGATACAGTATCACCTGACAGTAATTCACATTCCAATTTTGCCATCATCCTAGAAATTTTCATAAAGCACTTTATTTTGTAGCCTAGCATCTAATCTAGGATCACACACTGCATTTAATTTCTCATATTTATTTTTTTTGATCTGGGATATTTCCTCCACCTTTATCTTTTATGACACATTTTTGCAGTATTAAGGCCAATAATTTTGCAGAATATCTCTCAATTTGGATTTGTCTGATGTTTCCTCATTACTCAGGTTTTGATCTTTGGCAGGAGTACTTCAGAAATGATGTGTTTCTCAATGCAGGGAGACCCAAGATGTCAGTATTGGTGATGCTCACTTTGATCACTTGGTTAAGATGGCATCTCCTAGGTTCCTCCACTGAAAGTTCCAGTTTTTTCTTTGTAATTAATTAATATTCTGAGACTATATAAATAAGTGTTCTTTTTTTTTTTTTTTGAGACAGAGTCTATGTCACCTTGGGTAGAGTGCCGTGGTGTCGCAACTCACAGCAACCTCCAACTCTTGGGCTTAAGCAGTTTTCTTGCCTCAGCCTCCCAAGTAGCTGGGACTACAGGTGCCTGCCACAGTGCCCGGCTATTTTTTGGTTGTAGTTGTCATTGTTGTTTGGCAGGCCCAGGCTGGATTTGAACCCGCCAGCTCTAGTATATGTGGCTGGCACCTTAGCCACTTGAGCTATAGGCGCCACCACAATAGGTTATATTTTTGTTTATTTATTTTTTTGAGACAGAGTCTCACTATGTTGCCCTCGGTTTGAGCAAACTCAAACTCCTGGGCTTAAGTGATTCTCTTGCCTCAGCCTTCCAGTAGCTGGGACTACAGGCGCCCACCACAACACCTGACTATTTTTTGTTGCAGCTGTCATTGTTGTTTTGCTGGCCCAGGCCAGGTTCAAACCGACCAGCCTCAATGTATGTGGCAGGCATTGTAACCACTGTGCTACGGGCACCAAGCCTATTCAATAGGTTATAGTCCTCACATTTAACCGGAAGGAACCCCTAGTTCCTATGTTTTCTTTTTTTGTGCTATAATTCACATTGAACTAAGCTCACCCTCTTAAAGTGCAATTCACTGGTTTTTAGTATATTTACAGAGTTGTAGACATGCAACTACCTATTTTCAGATCATTTCCATCACCCCCCAAAGAAGCCTAGCCTATCAACAGTCTCCCCTCTCAGCCCTGGCAACTAATAATTTCTGTCTCTATAGATTTGCTTATTCTGGACACTGTGTAAATGGAATGACACAATATGTGGCCTTTTGTGACTGTCTCATTACACATTTTTATGGTTCATCCATGATAAAGGAGTATTTCATTCCTTTCTATGGCTGAAAAAAATTCCATTGTATGGATGTACTACATTTTGTTTATCTGTAGTCAATAGACATTTGAGTTGTTTCTACCTTTTGGCTTTTATGAATAATGCTACTATGAATATTCACTTAGAAGTTTTTATATGGGCATCTGTTTTCATTTCTCTTGAGTATATACCTAGGTGTGGAACTGCTGGATCATATAGTAACTGCATAGTTAAACACATCAAATTTGATGTATCATACAGCACACGAGCTAAAGTACTTAACCCACAGTAAGTGCCAAATCATCTTCATTTCATAGCAACCTTCAGTTTTACAGGTGAGGAAATGAAGGCACCAAGAGGGAAAATGGCTTGTCCCCCTTGACCAGTTTCACCATTACTCAGTTAAAAGTGGTAGGACCTAGAATAGAAGTGAGGTATTTGACTCCAGAGTTTAGGGCTGCCTCCTGGGCTGTGGGGCTGGCATTCAGAATAGAAGACACAGGGGGCGGTGCCTGTGGCTCAAGGAGTAGGGCACCGGCCCCATATGCCGGAGGTGGCAGGTTCACACCCAGCCCTGGCCAAAACTGAAAAAAAAAAAAAGAATAGAAGACACAGACCCAGATCCACTGCTGAAGCAAGTGCTCAGGTCTGCCTCCTCTGTGTCCTAAGTCATTCCATTTTTCTGCAGCCCTCCAGGGGACCCCTCTCTCAGCCACCCTCTCCCTGGTGATGTCACAGTGCTGCCGGAAAATAAAAGACACTGTGCAGAAATTGGCTTCAGACCACAAGGACATTCATAGCAGCGTGTCGCGAGTAGGCAAAGCCATTGACAGGGTGAGCATGTGGACGAACCCAGGCCCAGGGACAGGAGTACCTTGGAGCTGGTATGTATAAAAAGACTCAGCAGGAGAGCAAGTGAGGGTGCCCGTGTCACAGGGCCCTGTCTCTCCTCTTGCCAGAACTTTGACTCTGAAATTTGCGGTGTAGTCTCCGATGCAGTGTGGGACTCACGGGAGAAGCAGCAGCAGATCCTGCAGATGGCCATCGTGGAGCACCTGTACCAGCAGGGAATGCTCAGTGTTGCTGAGGAGCTGTGCCAGGTACAAACCAGGCAGGACGGACTTGGGAGGACCTGCCTACTCTTTTTACCTAGCAGATTTTCTAATATTAAGTTCCTGCCTTTTTTTTTTTTTTGAGACAGAGTCTCAAGCTGCTGCCCTGGGTAGAGTGCCATGATGTCACAGCTCAAGAGCTAAACTTAAACTCTTGGGCTTAAGCAATTCTCTTGCCTCAGCCTCCCAAGTAGCTAGGACTACAGGTGTCCCCCACAACGCCCAGCTATTTTTTGGTTGTAGTTGTCATTGTTGTTTTGGCAGGCCCAGGCTGAATTCAAACCCACCAGCTCCAGTGTATGTCGCTGGCACCCTAGCCACTTGAGATATAGGC